TATTTTTAGTAGAGATGAGGTTTCACCATGTTGGCCAGGCTGGTCTTGAACTCTTGACTTCAGGTGATCCAACTGCCTTAGCCTCCCAAAGTGCTGGGATTACAGGCGTGAGCCACCGTTTCCGGCGTCTCGTGTCCTTATAAATAATATGGAATCTTGGGATTTGAGGGAATGCAGAATGTCAAGATCTTTCTTGTACCTCAATTTCCTTACTAGTAAAAATAAGTAATGGTAATCAGTATACAGCTTTACCTATCCTGCTGTGACACTGTGAGATAAAAATGCAATTTGTGGCCAGGCGTGGAGGCTGATGTGGGTGGATCGTTTGAGCCCAGGAGTTTGAGACCGGCCTAGACAATATGGCAAAAACCCATCTTACCCCAAAATATGAAAATCAGCCAGTCTCATAACCCGGTCTCAAAATAAATAAATAAGGAGATAAAAAATTTTTTAAAAATGCAGTTTGGGACATGGAAAGTACTATGATTTTAAGAAGTTATTCTTATATTATATTAACTGCTTTCTGTCCCAACCCCTCATCTGATACTTGCCTCTCCTGTGCAAAAATGAGAGTCAGGGCCGGGTGCAGTGGCTCACGTGTGTAATCCCGGCATTTTGAGAGGCCAAGGCGAGCAAATCACTTGAGGTCAGGAGTTTGAGACCATCCTGGACAACATGGTGAAACCTCATCTCTACTAACAATACAAAAATGAGCCAGGCATGGTGGCAGGCGCCTGTAATCCCAGCTACTCAGGAGGCTGAGGCAAGAGAATCGCTTGAACCTGGGAGGTGGAGGTTGCAGTGAGCTGAGATCGCACCACCGCACTCTAGCCTGGGTGACAGAGGGAGACTCTATCTCATTAAAAAAAAAAAAGAGAGAGAGAGAGAGTTAGCCTCTGCCTCCCCCACATCTTGCTTCCTCATTGACTCCTACTCAACTTCAAGACCAAACAAGGCACTGCCTCCCGTCAGAAGCATGAGCTGACCTAGTACAGGTTCCCCTTCCCTGTGCTCCTACAGCACCCTACAGTATCTTTACCTCTAATTACAGGGTACTACAACTGTCTGTGTACAGGTCTGACCGTGGCTGCAATCCTAACACTCACTAGAGCCTGGGCCACCACTGTCGGTCATTCCATAGGCAGCCCTGCTGAGTTCCATGTGCTTTGCCTTCATCTGCCAGGCCTCGCTGCCTTTTCCTAGCGAAGAAGAAACTCCTCAAAATGGACTAGATCAGGCTTCATTCAGGGACTCAAATTCTTTTTTCTTTTTAAAATACCCAACATCTGCTTCTTTTACTACCAGGAGACCCACCTCTCTGGAAAGGCATCTAGAAGCACTCTAAATCCCTTACTGTTCTAAATAATTTACAGAGCCCAGGTGCTTTGGGAGGAAAATTATGAATGTGTTTTTGTTAAAAAAGACTTGGTATGAGAAATAAGTCAGAATGTTTTGGGAACAGTGTGACAGGGTGATGCGATGCTAAAGCTGAAGCACAGAACCTCACACTCTGGCTCCACCGAGGGGTGAATGCGTGGCCCTGCAGGGAACATGTACAGTGTTAATGGCAGAGTCTAGGTGGACGGGTGTTTACTGAAAAATTCTTTCAACTTCACAATATGTCTGAAAACTTTCATAGAAAACACTGGAAAAAAATCAGGTCACAGAGTTAACATAATTTCTTTCTTTTTCTTTCTTTCTTTCTTTTTTTTTTTCAAGAACGAGTCTTGCTCTGTTGTCCAGGCTGAAATGCAGAGGCCTGATCTCAGCTCACTGCAACCTCTGCCTCCCAGGTTCACGCAATTCTGCCTCAGCCTGCCAAGTAGCTGGGACTACAGGCGTGCGCCAACACACCCGGTTAATTTTTGCATTTTTAGTAGAGATGGGGTTTCACCATGTTGGCCAGGCTGGTCTCAAATTCCTGACCTCAGGTGATAAACCACCACCCTTGGCCTCCCCAAGTGCTGGGATTACAGGCCTGAACCACCATGCCCAGCCAAGTTAACGTAATTTCCACTACTAAATCTGCTATGAATGACTTGTGTGACTTAGGCAACCTGCTGGCATTCTGTAAGCCTCTGTCTACTGACTGGCAGATGGGATTATGTTTGCCTTCTTTACCTCACAGGGCTGCTGAGAGGATGAGATGAGGCAACACAAGTGCAATCTCAGCACTCCATCTGCAGAAGTAGACAGCCCTTCTGGAGCTGGGAGTGAGGGTCTAGCCCCTCGGGGCTCCCTTTGGATCATACCTGCGAATGTACTAGGATGTCCTTAAATTTCCTCCTCCTCATGGCTTCTCATGACTTACCTTTTCTTCTCTGTCTCCAGACACACTGTCATTTTCATATACTGATCTTCCTTTCGCTCTTCCAAAGTGGCAGACACAAGAGAAAGCTCCCCAAAGAGGGAGACCAGCCAGGTCAGGCGAGAGATGCCACTGAATGCAGGGAAGCCAAACCGCTCTTCTTCCAACGGGCCAGCTGTGGGAAATCACAAATGTTGTGGGAACTGGGAAGCAAGAATGCCAGGTGGAGAGCAGGACCCTGGGCCGGGGCTGGCGGGGATGTGAAAAGGTGTGGCTGAGTGATCAGCACAATGGGACCTTGCCTTATGTGGTAGGCAGGCAAGATGATTAATGATACTGATGAAAACTCAGGTGGCTGAATTTAAACTCTATCATAAAAGCATCTCTGTCTTTTCCTGTTTATTAAATTCAGTTTTAGTAAAACATTCTACTGGAAACAGCAGTCAATCCAGCCAAACAGGATAATAAAAAAGTTTCAGGCTTCTAATATATATATATCTATGTACACATATGTAGATACACATACATACACACACACACACAAACACGTACCTACATATACATACATATATATCCTTTTTAATTAATGATTTAAAGTAGTCTGGTAAAAGTAGAAGAATCAAGATATTTTAGCCCCACAAGCCTGTATTCTTATAACTACCCGATGTGTAAGTGGCAATAAGGTGTGAAGGTATGGAGAAAATGGTAGTACCTTTGAGCTATTTCAATATCAAGAAAATTGATACAATGTTAAATGTTTTCTTAGTCTTCCTAATCTTGTGAACAAAAAAGTATACTCAAAAGAGTACTGGGGCCAGGCATGGTAGCTCATGCCTGTAGTCCCAGCACTTTGGGAGACCAAGGTGGGTGGATCACTTGAGGTCAGGAGTTCGAGACTAGCCTGGCCAACATGGCAAACCCCATCTCTACTAAAAAAAAATATAAAAATTACCCAGGCATGGTGATGGGTGCTGGTAACAGCTGCTCGGGAGACTGAGGCAGGAGAATCACTTGAGCCTGGGAGGTGGAGGTTGCAGTAAGCCTAAAAAGGCCGAGTACGGTAGCTCATGCCTATAATACCAGCATTTTGGGACGCCAAGGCTGGCAGATGGCTTGCGCCCAGGAGTTCAAGACCAGCCTAGGCAACATAGCAAGACTCTGTCTCTACAAAAAACACACACAAAATTAGGCAGGTGTGGTGGTGCACACCTGCAGCCCCAGCTACTCAGGAGGCTAAGGTGGGAGGATCATCTGGGCCTGAGGAGTTCAAGGCTGCAGTGAGCCATAATTGTACCACTGCATTCCAGCCTGGATGACAGAGTGACACCCTATCTCAAAAAATATATATATAAATATAAAAAAGAGTATTGGTGTGAGAAATCCATTTGGTCAAGATACTGCTCCTGTCTGCCTCCAGCTAAAATCTTAAACATAACCTAGGTTTAAAAGACTTCATATCTGTTACATTACATTATAAACAAAACATTTCTTATGGCCTTGATATTCACTGAAAACAATGACTAATAACAATAAGTATATTCTTAAAAAGTAATGTTATATATAAATCCAAACAAAAATTAAAATTTTCATAGACAATATGGTTTGAAATCAGTAGGGCCTAAGTATCAAACTTACAAAATAAAAAGACTTCCCCAGGGCTGGTTACTGTCTGCTCTAGTTCTTTTTTGTTTTTTTCTGTTTGTTTGTTTTTGAGACACAGTCTCGTTGTCACCTAGGCTGTGCAGTGGCGCGATCTCGGCTCACTACAACCTCTGTCTCCTGGGTTAAAGCGATTTTCTTGCCTCAGCCTTTCAAGTAGCTGACATTACAGGTGTGTGCCACCATGCCCGACTAATTTTTGTATTTTTTTTAGTAAAGATGGTGTTTCACCATGTTGGTCAGACTGGTCTCGAACTCCTGACCTCAGGTGATCCACCTGCCTCAGCCTCCCAAAGTGCTGGAATTACAGGCATGAGCCACTGTGCCCAGCCTAGTTCTTCGGACAGAATACTAAGCAGCCACCCACAACAGTTCCAGCCACTTAGAGAGCTGAGCTCCAATCTAGCTCTGTCTCATGTCTGCTACATTACCTCTGTGAAGCCACTCGTGTCTTTGAGCTTCAGTTTATCTGTATAATGGGGGTGGTGAATACCACTTTATAGGATTGTCATATGGATTAAGATAATGCACATCACATACTTAATACGGTACAAATTAATGGTTTGTACTCACATTGCCATTTTCAAGGATGAAGACAGATTTTGAACTGAGGTTCTACTATGTATCAGTGGCTTTACTATGCAAAAATGCAAGGCCATGTCCCCCAGGGTCTCCTTTCTCTAATGAAAGCCCTCAGGAATGGTGGCTCAGGTGCCCAACGATATAGCCAGAGAAGGAGCCCATCCGAAAGTGACCACAAGAGCAGGAGCTTCCTGCATGCCCATTTCCTATTGCTAACGGAGCTGCTCAAAGAGAACCAACATCAAGTAAACAGCTACATATACAGCAGATCAGATACTGTGGTCAGCTGGGTATGGTGGCTCATGCCTGTAATTCCAGCACTTTGGGAGGTCAAGACAGGCGGATCACTTGAGCCCAGGAGTTTGAGACCAGGCTGGGCAACATAGAGAGACACTGTTTACAAAAATTTTTAAATTAGCTGGGTGTTGTGGTGCACACCTGTGGTTCCAGCTACTTGGAAGTCTGAGGTGGGAGGACTGCTTGAGCCTGGGAGGTTGAGGCTACAGTGAGCTATGACTGCACCACTGCACTCCAGCCTGGGCAACAGAGTAAGACCTTAGCAAAAAAGAAAAAAAACAATATTGTGGTTGCCGCCAACATCCTTATAACTTGCTAGAGGAGGAAGGGAACTCTTCATATTGTATTTGCCTTGCAAGGAAGTATAAAAATGTTCTCTCCGAGCACCTATCTCTCAGTCCTTTTAAAAGAGTTTTAATGTACAACTTCCTGTTGAAAAATAATCTCCAACTAGTTAATAGATTGGGACAGAGCATAAATAAGCTTGAGATTTCTAATATACTCTTTACCTAAGGGCTACCAAGCAATTAAATCCCATCTGGGAAAATTAAATTGGCCCTGAGTCAGAGAGTCTTGAGCAGAAATGAATACAAGCTCCCATACTAGAGAGCCAGGAAAGAATCTGGCTGGTCTTTGGACCTCACACGTGACCTGTGATCCCACCTAGCACTGACCTGTGAAGAGGAGTGACCCTTTCAGCAGGTCTTTCCCCACCACTTCTTTTTTCAGGAATGCAAATTCCTCCATCAAGAGTTCAACATGCTCCTCGTGCAAGACTTTTCCTGTAATGACAAAAA